GTTAGGATCTCCCTGTCCACACAACTCTTATAGTTAGGATCTCCCTGTGTCCACACAACTTTTATAGTTAGGATCTCCCTGTGTCCACACAACTCTTATAGTTAGGATCTCCCTGTGTCCACACAACTCTTATAGTTAGGATCTCCCTGTGTCCACACAACTCTTATAGTTAGGATCTCCCTGTGTCCACACAACTTTTATAGTTAGGATCTCCCTGTGTCCACACAACTCTTATAGTTAGGATCTCCCTGTGTCCACACAACTCTTATAGTTAGGATCTCCCTGTGTCCACACAACTCTTATAGTTAGCATCTCCCTGTCCACACAACTCTTATAGTTAGCATCTCCCTGTCCACACAACTCTTATAGTTAGGATCTCCCTGTCCACACAACTTTTATAGTTAGGATCTCCCTGTGTCCACACAACTTTTATAGTTAGGATCTCCCTGTGTCCACACAACTTTTATAGTTAGGATCTCCCTGTGTCCACCCCTCTTTTATAGTTAGGATCTCCCTGTGTCCACACAACTCTTATAGTTAGGATCTCCCTGTGTCCACACAACTCTTATAGTTAGCATCTCCCTGTCCACACAACTCTTATAGTTAGGATCTCCCTGTCCACACAACTTTTATAGTTAGGATCTCCCTGTGTCCACACAACTTTTATAGTTAGGATCTCCCTGTGTCCACCCCTCTTTTATAGTTAGGATCTCCCTGTGTCCACACAACTCTTATAGTTAGGATCTCCCTGTGTCCACCCCTCTTTTATAGTTAGGATCTCCCTGTCCACACAACTCTTATAGTTAGGATCTCCCTGTGTCCACACAACTTTTATAGTTAGGATCTCCCTGTGTCCACCCCTCTTTTATAGTAAGGATCTCCCTGTCCACACAACTCTTATAGTTAGGATCTCCCTGTCCACACAACTCTTATAGTTAGGATCTCCCTGTGTCCACACAACTTTTATAGTTAGGATCTCCCTGTGTCCACACAACTCTTATAGTTAGGATCTCCCTGTGTCCACACAACTCTTATAGTTAGGATCTCCCTGTGTCCACACAACTCTTATAGTTAGCATCTCCCTGTCCACACAACTCTTATAGTTAGGATCTCCCTGTCCACACAACTTTTATAGTTAGGATCTCCCTGTGTCCACACAACTCTTATAGTTAGCATCTCCCTGTCCACACAACTCTTATAGTTAGGATCTCCCTGTCCACCCCTCTTTTATAGTTAGGATCTCCCTGTGTCCACCCCTCTTTTATAGTTAGGATCTCCCTGTCCACACAACTCTTATAGTTAGGATCTCCCTGTCCACACAACTTTTATAGTTAGGATCTCCCTGTGTCCACACAACTTTTATAGTTAGGATCTCCCTGTGTCCACCCCTCTTTTATAGTTAGGATCTCCCTGTGTCCACACAACTCTTATAGTTAGGATCTCCCTGTGTCCACCCCTCTTTTATAGTTAGGATCTCCCTGTCCACACAACTTTTATAGTTAGGATCTCCCTGTCCACACAACTCTTATAGTTAGGATCTCCCTGTGTCCACCCCTCTTTTATAGTTAGGATCTCCCTGTGTCCACCCCTCTTTTATAGTTAGGATCTCCCTGTGTCCACCCCTCTTTTATAGTTAGGATCTCCCTGTGTCCACCCCTCTTTTATAGTTAGGATCTCCCTGTGTCCACACAACTCTTATAGTTAGGATCTCCCTGTGTCCACACAACTCTTATAGTTAGGATCTCCCTGTCCACACAACTCTTATAGTTAGGATCTCCCTGTCCACACAACTCTTATAGTTAGGATCTCCCTGTGTCCACCCCTCTTTTATAGTTAGGATCTCCCTGTCCACACAACTCTTATAGTTAGGATCTCCCTGTCCACACAACTTTTATAGTTAGGATCTCCCTGTCCACACAACTCTTATAGTTAGGATCTCCCTGTGTCCACCCCTCTTTTATAGTTAGGATCTCCCTGTGTCCACACAACTCTTATAGTTAGGATCTCCCTGTCCACACAACTCTTATAGTTAGCATCTCCCTGTCCACACAACTCTTATAGTTAGGATCTCCCTGTGTCCACCCCTCTTTTATAGTTAGGATCTCCCTGTGTCCACCCCTCTTTTATAGTTAGGATCTCCCTGTGTCCACACAACTCTTATAGTTAGGATCTCCCTGTGTCCACACAACTCTTATAGTTAGGATCTCCCTGTCCACACAACTCTTATAGTTAGGATCTCCCTGTGTCCACCCCTCTTTTATAGTTAGGATCTCCCTGTCCACACAACTCTTATAGTTAGGATCTCCCTGTCCACACAACTTTTATAGTTAGGATCTCCCTGTCCACACAACTCTTATAGTTAGGATCTCCCTGTGTCCACCCCTCTTTTATAGTTAGGATCTCCCTGTGTCCACCCCTCTTTTATAGTTAGGATCTCCCTGTGTCCACCCCTCTTTTATAGTTAGGATATCCCTGTGTCCACCCCTCTTTTATAGTTAGGATCTCCCTGTCCACACAACTCTTATAGTTAGGATCTCCCTGTGTCCACACAACTCTTATAGTTAGGATCTCCCTGTGTCCACACAACTCTTATAGTTAGGATCTCCCTGTCCACACAACTTTTATAGTTAGGATCTCCCTGTCCACACAACTCTTATAGTTAGGATCTCCCTGTGTCCACACAACTCTTATAGTTAGGATCTCCCTGTCCACACAACTCTTATAGTTAGGATCTCCCTGTCCACACAACTCTTATAGTTAGGATCTCCCTGTGTCCACACAACTCTTATAGTTAGGATCTCCCTGTCCACACAACTCTTATAGTTAGGATCTCCCTGTCCACACAACTCTTATAGTTAGGATCTCCCTGTGTCCACCCCTCTTTTATAGTTAGGATCTCCCTGTCCACACAACTTTTATAGTTAGGATCTCCCTGTGTCCACACAACTCTTATAGTTAGGATCTCCCTGTGTCCACACAACTCTTATAGTTAGGATCTCCCTGTCCACACAACTCTTATAGTTAGGATCTCCCTGTGTCCACACAACTCTTATAGTTAGGATCTCCCTGTGTCCACCCCTCTTTTATAGTTAGGATCTCCCTGTCCACACAACTTTTATAGTTAGGATCTCCCTGTCCACCCCTCTTTTATAGTTAGGATCTCCCTGTGTCCACACAACTCTTATAGTTAGGATCTCCCTGTGTCCACACAACTCTTATAGTTAGGATCTCCCTGTGTCCACCCCTCTTTTATAGTTAGGATCTCCCTGTCCACACAACTTTTATAGTTAGGATCTCCCTGTCCACCCCTCTTTTATAGTTAGGATCTCCCTGTGTCCACACAACTCTTATAGTTAGGATCTCCCTGTGTCCACACAACTCTTATAGTTAGGATCTCCCTGTGTCCACCCCTCTTTTATAGTTAGGATCTCCCTGTGTTCTTAACCCATTTAAAGGTATAGAACCCTTCACATTCACTGATTATTTCTCAATTGAAATAATAACATGATTTTTGTTTTCAACTTTATTTTATGTATGCTCAAAATCAGATTTTCACTCAAAAACCCCCAAATATTAATGACTATTTAATTAGCTGCACATCAGTTTGCCTTCAGTTCTTATATTTTTCATTTCCATGTGGCCTAAGGAAGTATTATGTCTGAGCTAGATGAGAATTGATCAACTTTGTACTGCAAATCTAAGTCAGGGGTCGGCAACCTTTTGAGACAGAAGAGCTAAAAGTTACAATTTTCAAAATTTCCCAGTATTTAAAGAGCCACTAACATTTTTTTCTTCAATATTTTGGTATTTGATAAGGATTAGGTTAATAAATTTGGAACTGAAGAGCCGCATCTTGACATCAAAAGAGCCACATGGGGCTCGTGAGCCGCAGATTGCCGACCCCTGAACTAGGTCACTGAATCCATGTTGTATATATTCGTCCAATTAGTTTATTTTTTTATTTTTTTTCTGGCCACAGTTTGTATGATGGGATTAAAATATTTTTCTGGCCACAGTTTGTATGATGGGATTAAAATATTTTTCTGGCCACAGTTTGTATGATGGGATTAAAATATTTTTCTGGCCACAGTTTGTATGATGGGATTAAAATATTTTTCTGGCCACAGTTTGTATGATGGGATTAAAATATTTTTCTGGCCACAGTTTGTATGATGGGATTAAAATATTTTTCTGGACATAGTTTGTATGATGGGATTAAAATATTTTTCTGGCCACAGTTTGTATGATGGGATTAAAATATTTTTCTGGCCACAGTTTGTATGATGGGATTAAAATATTTTTCTGGCCACAGTTTGTATGATGGGATTAAAATATTTTTCTGGCCACAGTTTGTAAGATGGGATTAAAATATTTTTCTGGCCACAGTTTGTATGATGGGATTAAAATATTTTTCTGGCCACAGTTTGTATGATGGGATTAAAATATTGAGAAATTCCACGATGACCTTCATGATGGTCACAGGTTGATATTATAGAAGTAAAAAGTATGTAAGGGTTGCATTGATATGATATGTCATGTATGTGTGTCGTGATCTCAAGGGTTACACTCTACCCATATGTGTTATCTAACTGTCATATTTGAACAGTTATTGGCCACAGCCCCTAATTTTATCATCCAGCACTTACAAAATCTGATAGTAAATCACATCAGTTGGGTGTGTGTCTTAAGGTTTTAAGCTGTAGTTTACATTTATAAGGTTTTAAGCTGTAGTTTACGTTTATAAGGTTTTAAGCTGTAGTTTATGTTTATAAGGTTTTAAGCTGTAGTTTACATTTATAAGGTTTTAAGCTGTAGTTTACGTTTATAAGGGCCAAACATTGAACGGCCACACACATCCATTTACTATTATAGTATTTGTCTTCTTACATTGTGTGACCTCTTACATTGTGTGACCTCTCTTGCTATCTTTACTACATGTTAATAAAATGTATCATGGATGATTATGTTAAAACATGTGATAAGAGTTAGTTTACTTGTAGGGTTTGGTGAGTTGTATGGGAGGAAAGGTCCTCAGTGGTTTACTTGCCCGCTATGCTCGTTCTCCTCGACATGCCAGGAGTGGTTTTCCTGACCTAACGCTATGGAATGCTGAGACCTGCTCTCTTAAGGTGAAAACTTTTTTTTTTCAAAATTTCAAATTTATTCTGAAGAGCTTAATGACAAAACTAGTTTTGTATAGCTTTATATACACAAATAGGCCCTATAGGGCTGTCATTTATTATCTTCCCCCCTCCCAGTCACCATGTGCATCATTGAACTCCCAATCAATCACTTCCCTTCTGCCCCCTGCCCCCCCCCCCCCCCCCCACTTTAGAATACCTATTATAGACTAATAATTTGACTCTTTTTCACACTCACTCTGATTTTAATTATTTTTTTTAGGTCTACTGAAAACTGAAGCCAAAAATTTAATTTTTTTTTTTATAATAAAAAGCTTTAATTTTAGGATAAATATGTAGGCAATATTTTCTTTAAATGTACAATAATGCATTGCAATTGATTTAAATATAAAGATAACCGTGAGTTGCTCATAACAATCTGAGCAATGAAAGCGTGGGTCGCTCCCTAAATATTAGTTAAAGTACCCAATAGATAATATAGTGACCCAGACTTTTCTTCTTTATAGTTAAATAAATAGTAGTGTATTATCATAAATTTTAAGAAATGTATTTATTCTCTACATTTTAGTGCATTATTACATACAAGCTTGTTATTAAAACATTTTTTATGAAATAATTTTTTTTTAACTCACTGTCGTCAGTCTAGCAAAATATTGGACGCTTCTGACAGATTTGTTTCAACATTGGCACGTAGATTAAGACATGAAGACAATGCAACATGTCATTAAATTTGACTTAATGGATGCGAGTGAGTTGACGAGAATCATTTCATCATGTTGTTGACATGGAATTAAAGCGTGCTTTTTTATATTTAGACCGTAAAAATAATTTTAAAAATATAAATTTAAGCCTAAAAAAAATTTAGAAATTTTATATTTTTAGAATTAATGCTTTAAAAGTTGCAAATCCAGAGAACTTGAAAATAATTTGTTGAGTTTAAGGCTACATTTCTATTTATTTTCATTAAGCCTCAGTTATAACTGAATGTTTCACTTTCGTAAGGCACATATTGATTGGCTGTACAGGAACTCCGTGATCGATAATTATTTGTTTACAAAAATGTGTAGATAAAGTTTTTAAATAACAATGCAAATTTAAACCCCATGACTTAGTTTTTCTTTTTTTTTAGCTTACAATAAAATTAATGGCAGCCTATCGAATAGCAGGATGCCATTGTTTATGTCGCCATTACACGTGAAAACAAAATTGTTTTTGCTTTTTTTTTTTTAATTTAGTTACCGAAAATATTAAAAACATCAAATACATCCAATCTTTAATAAAGTCCACAAAAAAAACCAGACAGGATTTTATAACCATATTAATTGTAACTACGTTGTGCATGATTTTTAAATTAATTAATGGGCCTCTCAAATACCTTTGAGACATTTCTCGCTCGCGTCCATTAGTTGCCTGATTTATTTATAATGAATTATTTAAAACGAGCCGACCCGCAGCGTACCATACGCCGCTATTTAGTTGTTTTATTTTCTACTTTTCAGTAATTCATAATTTGTGAATTCGACAGTACCAATGCTGCCACTGAAAATATTTTCTTTAAAACACTAACCCCCCCCCCTTCCCCTAACCCGACCCTACCCCCCCCCCCCCCCCCGTGAAAGCAGCCTCCTCTTAGTTATTTCTTCGTTACCTCCTGTAAGTTTAAAATCGAACTAAATTATCTGCCCCTAATAGAAACCCGGCTCTACAGAGGCTCTACGATTTGTAAACATTTAGCTTTGTAAACATTTAGCGTGACCACAGCTCACCAGACAATGTGGGGTGGGGGTGATAGTAATAGAGAGAAAGAGAGGGGACTGCAAGGAGGCGCTTGCAGCTTGTTTTCTAACGGCTCCCAGAAGAGAATTATATATATAGATAGATAGTAGGCTGTCTCTTAAGACTATTCCGCACTATTAGACACGCGCCATCACGTTCATTAGGTGCGCATGGTTTTTAGTCATGCAACTTTATTGTAAATTTTTAAAAATTTAAAGTACTAAGAAAAATTCATAAAAAACGTTTTAATAACAAGCTTTTATGTAACAATGCACTAAAAAGTAGAAAATAAATTATACACTACTATTTAAATAACTACAAAGAAAAGCATGGGTCTCTTCCTAAATATTAGTAAAGGTATCCAATAGATACTAAACTAAAGCTTGTAATTAAAACTTTTTTGTGTGAATTTTTTTTTATTTCAATAATGATGTAATGTATTGTTGTTTGATTTCATGAAAGATGTGTGAAGTAAAAGGGCCAGGCGATAGACTTTCCCATAAACAAATCTTATGGTTGAATCACATGTTAAAGTTGGGTATCAACGCTGAGGTCTGTTATGTTAAAGGTACGTAGCTAGAGTCAAATTGAACTTTCTCTTTTATTTTATCCAAACAAACGATGTAGTCTTTGTTGTCAACACACGGACAAACCACTCAAGTGTTTGTAGCCAAACACATCATCGGAGATTAGAAAAACACATACACAAACTGGTAAAATAACATTAGAAAAAGAAAAGTAGAATGGATTATGTAACCAATCACACGTGGTAGACCAACCCTCCACACTAACACTGGGTAGACCATCACACACTGGATAGACAAACCCCCACACTAACACACATCACATACACGGGGTAGACCAACCCCCACACTAACACAACACACAGACACGGGGTAGTCGAACCGATTGTAGGAAAAAAAGTCACAGAAAAAAAAGTCACCGGAAAAAAAGCCACAAATATATATTTGCATGATATTTGTTAATACTTTTATGTATTAAATATTTAGAGAGTGCAAATCAACTTAGGATTAATTAAATGTAATCTAATGTGTGTAGGCTGTATATGCATAGGAATTTTTATAATTCATTTAAAAATATTTATTATGAAGTATGTAGATTGTAATTATTTTAAACTTAAGATTAGTAGCATTTAATAGAATACTCCATTCTCTTCTTCTTCGTTCTTAATTATTAGTGTTGAAGGGGATCGAGATTTATCTGCCAGTGGGTTAGAACTCGAGACTTTGTTCGAATTTATCAAGCATGAGCTTTTTGCCGACTCGACCACGCCTCCAACACAATTAAGCGTTACGTGTCAACTGGTTATGCGCCATTGAGGCCATTGACTCCGATTTCATCCTGCTTTTCTTTTTGGATTTGCTTCCATAGCCTTTGTCCAACCAAGAACAAACTACAAGGCAGCAGTTGTTTAATTTTGGAGTTGTCTCTCCTAGAAGAGTGGCTGTCCCAAGCTAACAAGCCTCATCTGCCCGAGGGTTCGAGCTCGAGACTTTTCGGTTTTGTGACCTACTTAGGTCTAGTAATGTTTTATTTTTAGTTTGACATTTGTTATAATACCATATATGGTCTGTGGTGCAATAACCGGTTTTTTCCGCTGTCTTACTAAGAGAGTCTTAGACTCAGAAATTTTCCATCGTGAGATGATTGATTGTTTCAGACCAGATGACCACCCCAACCAATGGTCTTATGATTTGAAGGTGACCTTCCATGTTACCTAAGTCTATAAATAGATCGCCCACAGGTGTCTCGAGGCAGTCTTTGGTCAGACGTCGTTGAAGAGAGATAAGCCCTGTGTGTTGCCGTGCAGTATTAAGTTGTTATATTACTTGTGATTAAGTAATTCTTTATGCTTATAGCAGTGTTATGTATACAGTGGTGATTTTTCTGAAGTGTTTAAAGCTGTGATAGTGTATCATACTATTTATTCCCACGAATTGTAAGTTGGGTTTTGTTCATTCTGTAAATCCATTTTATTCTTGTATAAATCTAGTGTTCTGCCACGACTTTGTACACTCATTACAAGTTATATGCAGATTAAAGGTATTGTTGTCATCAGTAGTTTCTCTAGTGTTTCCCCTAGACATTAATTACGAGTCCTAGCGAACTAGAGAGTCAACTTTCTTTTATTTAGGCTTGTCGCCATCTGTGTGTAATCAGTTAAACGAATCCGGGAGCGTTCATCATCTATCTGGCTGATAGATTGGTGTCCGTTACAGTTTAGCAACCATGAGCTTTACCGACTCGACCACGCCGACCCCCATAGAATACTCCAAAGTCCACGTTTTCATCGTGTTTTTTTTTAAATACTAATATTAAATTACAGTGAAATGGTAAGTTCATCTGACTTGCTGCCCTCAACTCATGGCAACAATAGTTATGTTTAGTTTAACCACCTTTACTGCCCACATTTATCACGCTCATTACATAACAAAACTTAGGATCAAAACAGAAAGCCGACAAGGTTCAAAGGCTGTCATTGACGCATAACGTCAACAACACAAAATATGTTCTGACAATGCCTACTGAGGAGAGGCCGACCAGAGAATAGCCTACGGCAAAATGTGCCTAAATTTCTTTTATAATTATCTTTTCTACCGCGTATTTAACTAAATACGTAACAAAAGTTGAGATTGTTGTGTTAATTATCTTAGAGTATTTTTACTTACAATTGTTATAAATCATTATGCTTTTAACGTCTATAAATAATTTATGCTATCAAAAAATACAACCCACAACAATAAACATACACAATTTTACAATTCTTAACAAATTAATAAAAAGATTTCTAAAAAGATTTTTGTGACTTTTTTCTGTGACTTTATTTCTGTGACTTTTTTTCCGATAAAATTTTTCCACTGTGACTTTTTTCCTAGCAAAAACTGTGACTTTCTTCTGTGTTTTTTTTTCCTGTGACTTTTTTTTCCGTTCACCAGTCCAACCCCCCCCCCCCCACACACACACACACACACACACTAACTTACACATACATAACACGGGGTAGTCCAACTCTCCTTTTTTACTTTCTCGTATACGAAGTATAGAGGAAGTACTGTAATCGTGCAAAAAATCGAAATTGAGATTTTTGCAAATCTCGACGTTTTGATCCTCTCTGAGTCGGAAAAACATAGTTTTGTAATTTTGTCCTAATGTCTCTGTGTGGATGTGTGTCTGTGATACAATTTATAAGTATTGTATCAAATTTGTAGTTCTTGAATATATAGGCCTATATATATAGTAATATATATATGTATGTATGTATATGGCGCCTTTTGTCGACTTGCCGCTCCCCCTAACACAAAAACCTGCATACACCTCTGATTCCTAACATTTACTATTTTTTCGAATTTCATCATCAGCTGTTGCAGCAAAAAAACTCAAGTCCCGTCCGTCATGACGAGATGGACAAAAGGTCATCAAAGGGAAACAATTAATCATCAAATAGAGACAAGTGATGTTCTCGGTGAAAACTATCGATCGTAGATCCCAGTTCTCTTCATGTTCTGACTCTTAACATGTGTTCTCCTCGTATTTGAAGACAAAATTAGGTTTATTTATTTCTTAAGGCAGAGCATTGAATGAACTTTACAAAAATAAAAAAAATTCATATAGATCTACTGGTTGTTGCTATTTTAACGATTTCGACACCATGTACATTTTTACTTTCTCGTATACGAAGTATAGAGGAAGTATTATAATCGTGCAAAAATAGAAATCGAGATTTTCACGTTGTACACTTCCATGAGTCAGAAAAACAGTTTTGCAATTTTGTCCGTATGTGTGTGTCTGTGAACAAGATAGCTTGAGTACCGTTACAGCTAGGTTAATGAAATTTCATATAGAAGTATTATATCAAATTTGTAGTTCTTTATCAACTTTTCAGCGATTTCCGGTAACTGGAAGTGGAACTTATCCTACTTTTAGTTTTTCAAAAACCTATCATTTCAGATAAACAAAATGTTTACATATAAGTAAAAGATCTAATCTTCTGCCTTCTCTCAAATTTTGAGTAATTTCCGTTGACCGGAAGTAGTAAATTACGCTATTTCCGATTTCTCAAAAAAAAACATGATTTTATAAGGTAACAATAATATTCCCAGTGGCGTAGCCAGGATCCTCTCAAGGGGGAGGGGGGGTCCCAATTTTTACCCGGGGACAAACTTTCAATTTGCACCCCCCCCCCCCCCCTCATACTTTTTCTATATACCGAGGGGTCTATGGGGGGGGGGGGGTTATGACCTCCCCCCCCCTGCCTACGCCACTGAATATTCCACACTATTATACACACTATTTGTTATTCACTCAGTGCGCATTTTTTTTAACGAGATTCTATTTTAAAAAGTTTAAGTAATTAAAATGGATTAAAGAGCCCAAAATTTTTTTTGATAAAAAAACGTTTTAATAACAAGCTTTTATGTAATATTGCACTAAAAAGGAGAAAATAAATTATACACTACTATTTAAATAACTATAAAGAGAAGCGTGGGTCTTCTTCCTAAATATTAGTATAGGTATACAATAGATACTAAAGTGGCCCACGGATAGACAGACATACGGACAGAATTGCAAAGCCCAGTTTTTCAGACTGGATTACGCATAAAACCTCTTAATTTTGATAAATCTGGATTGATAATTTTTGCCCGATTAAAATAAGTCCTCTATACTTCGGATGTGATGAAGGACTGAGGTGTAATACGGTGAAAATTGTTAAAATTTCAAGTGATTTTTGTGCACGATTACAATACTTTCTCTATACTTCGTATATACGAGAAAGTAAAAAGCAGAGTAATAATCTTAGAACCATTAAAAGTAATTTTATTCCCTCTAATTAATTGTTATAGTTCTTGATATTACACAACATATCTCGTGTATCGATTTAAAACTATCACTGAGATGATTTTTCATCGGCAGTCGCAAAACGGATTGTAATGTTTGCAAAAACGGATAGCCTTTAATGCACGGGTTCCCAAACTGGGGGTTTCCCCAGGGGGTCGCCAACTGGTAGACTAAACCCTAGCATTGAAAAAAAAAAACGTAAATATTTAGAAGATGTGAAATTCGGCTTTACTAACATCACTGGTAATGTAATAGAGAAGCTACAATGCATACTGTGTAAAGTTGTTCACAGTCATGAGTCTATGAAACTTTCAAAACTGAAACGTCATTTTGGGACGAGTCATTCGGAGCACACCAAAAAAGATATGGATTTCTTTCGACGTCATGAAGCTAGTTGCAAACGTCAGAGACTTCATTGAACAGAAAGTTTTCATCAAGGGAACAGTGCATTAGTAGAAGCATCATATGAAGTCGCATTAGAAATTGCCAAGCAAAAAACCTCTCACACAACAGGAGAAAATCTCATTAAACCCATCATGTTGAATATCATCATCATCATTCCTTTGTGGCCCCTGGGGAGCAAAGGGCTGCAACCACTTATTTCCAGCGGACTCGGTTTTGGGCTGCTCCTTTAATCTGTGCCCATGTGAGCCCAGCTGTTTTCGCCTCTTCTTCAACCGTTCTTTTCCATGTTTTCCTTGGCCGGCCAAAAAAAAAAAAAAAAAATTGCTAACCAAGGAGAATCCACTGCATTAGTTATCAGTATGCACTCGCCACTAAGACTCTTCCGACTCCATTGCTAATAAAAGTCGTAAACTTTATTATATCTGGAGCCCTAAACATCCGTATGTTTAAAGAGCTTTTCTACACTGCAGTACGCCGGCTGTCAAAATGAAATGTGAATCGTGTTTATGATTTGAAAAATGAAATCAAGTTGTTTTTGGAAGTGCAAAGGAAAAAAGACCTTTTGATATACTTTAGCGACAAAGAGTAGTTGGAGAGAGTATAATCTTACCTAGCAGATATGTTCAAACCACAACATTTGAACGAATATAATTACCTCTTTTCATGATAATCTCGGGTCATTTTTTATCAAATCTGCAAGTTGGCGAAGATATATAAATCTTGGAAATATTCCCATGTTTAATATACTCTGCAGTGTGGTGCATGACTCTAATTGTTAGATAAATTAAAATTTGAAAGAGGATTCTGGACATCTTGAAAACGAACTGCGGCGTTATTTCCCAGAGCTGAAAGAAGAATGATCTGCATTGACAGCATTCACGATGAATTACAAAATAAATTCTTGGAATAGTGGAATGATTCAGCGTCAGATGAAAACTGCTCACACAATTTTGGGGTAGTATGCAGCAGAGGCGTAGCGACACTTCCCGGCGCCCGGGGACATACTTTCAATTTGGCGCCCCCTTGGGAGCAAATTTTCGATTTGCACCCCCCCCCTTGAACTTTTCATTTGCACCCCCCCCCCTCAAACTTTCGATTTTGCACCCCCCCCCCCTCGAACTTTTCATTTGCACCCCCCCTCAAACTTTCAATTTGGCGCCCCCCTAAGGTCGGCGCCCGGGGACATATGTCCCCCCCCCCCGCCCCCCCCCCCCCTCGCTACGCTACTGGTATGCAGTATTTATTTCCAAACGTGAAACTGATCGCCTTTCGAGTTTTAGCCTCTTTTATGTCTACATATTCTTGTGAGAATGTATTTTCAACACTTCTCCAATTGAAAACAAAACAAAGAAATAAAAATAACCGCGAATGTTGAGGCTAGTTAATAACTTACTTTTTATAAAAGGAGGTCGCCACTCGAAAAAGTTTGGGAACCACTGCTTTAGTGGGATACTAAAGTAAACAAATGCATAAAACTATTTGAAAATTAATATTAATAATATGTGATTCTGACACCATATACATTTTTCATTAGCATTTTCAGAAATGTTGTCCTTTCTACTTTCTCGTATACGAAGTATAGAGAAAGTATTGTATTTAGTTATGTCAAACGGCCGTTAAAACGCTGTTTTCGCCCGTGACGCCCAATTCCACTTCATAGTTTCTATAAATTATAAATGTCCGGGATCTATACATTTTTAATTACTTACTGCTTTTTATGTTCTTTAAGGATTATTTTTTTTACATAAAGATAAGGTATGGGTTGGATAACCGTATTGCACACACACCTCTTTACTGGTAATTACAAAACAATATTTCTGATTAGAAAATAAATAACTAAAGTTATTCTTTATTTAAAGTTTGCTTATTGATCTTTTGGAGTCAGTTTTACTATTACTTTCGTGCCAATCATTCGTGAAGTTGTGTGAGAATGTGTTTATTTTTCTGTACATTTATTCAGCTTCCGAGAAGGGTTAGTATTAAAATGAGCATGGGTTGATAAAATGCACTGTGATAAGTAAACCCGGATATTTTAAATACTGCCTTTTCACTTTGTTTATTTATGGATAAGTTGGGGTATTAAAGTCGTTTACTAAGTTGAATCAGGCGGTTCCGCCGGCACTCCAGCATGGTGCGATTTGGCGCACCGGGCTAGAATGTGAGCACTCTGCGTTAAGTTTGCTTTTAAGTTGTGTTTATGTGATGCGTTTTCTTTTGTGTTTTGTGTTTGCGTGTTGTGTTTTTGTTTGCATTGTGTTTGCTTTGTTTTTGTGTTTGCGCTTACTGTTGTATTTAGTTTTGTTCTGTTCACAAGTTGGTAAAAAAAGATTCACTGTGGCAGAGCACGGGTTTGCAATTGCAGCTAGTACAAATATGTGTATCTGTACAAGATGCCTTTAAAATTTTTGTAGTATTGACAAATCAAAGATAAGCAAAATCGTGTTCTACGGGGGCACGCTTTAATTTTAGGTAAACAATTACCCGGCAAAGTTAATAGGCCTTTCGTATAAAAGAGGGATGGCTGAATTGAGCCGACAACTCAAGCAAAGACTATACGTAAGCCAAGACGTAGGCTGTACATACACTTGTGAAGTAAGATCGACCTGAAGATGGTTGACGGTCTATATCTAGCAGGAATGACACAAACAGCAGATGTAGTGGCGTAGCGAGGTCGGGTGTCACCCGGTGCGGCACTTAATGGTGTCACCCCCCAGAGGCGTAGCGACCCTTCCCGGGGACAAACTTTCAAGTTTTCGATTTGCACCCCCCTCAAACTTTCGCTTTGCACCCCCCTCAAGTTTTCGATTTGAACCCCCCCCCCCCCCCTCAAGTTTTTCTCTATATATTTTGCTATTTTTTGCATTGGTGTCACCCCCTTAAATGGTGTCACCCGGTGCGGTCTGCACCCCCCGCCCCCCCCCCCCCCCGCTAGCCCCTGTGTAGTGGACAGACATAGTGATGACAAAAAACGCGCCTCACACATGCCTGGCGCTGAGCTAGGCGCCGATAAGTAAGTCAAGACGTAGGCTGTACATATACGTGTGAAGAGTTATTAAAAATTATGACATAACATGAGAGTTTATATTTCATAGTTTCCCAAATGTGTTTGTTGTTTCTATGTGTGTGTGTGTGTTGCGGAACTTGTTTTCAATTGTATTTAATTCATCTACCAGAAAGGCGCCACTATCCTTAAAATGGTTTAACCGGAGCTGTCGCACTCTATGCCCCCCCCCCCCTTGCCTACGCTACTGTTAATGCCACTAACACTCACCTGGGATAAGCGAAATAGTTATTACAGCTGTAACAAACAATGTGCATATTAATGATCCGTGCAAGTGTATTTGCACTTTGCAGTCAGTTTGGAAATTGACCGTGATTATGATTACATATTTATAAGTCACGAGCTGACCCGCGGCGTATCAAACGCCGCTATTCAATTGTTTTATTTTCTACTTTTACAGACGACAATGAAAATATCAGGCAGAAATTGTTACCTCCCCATAGTTTCAAATCATTTAAATACTAAATAATCTGCCCCTAATAGCCGTTACTAATTTTACCCGGCTCTACGATTGTAAACATTCAGGGTAAACAATAACTCACCAGACAGGTGGGAGTGAGGGTGGTAGCGATATGCCTAGAGAGCGGGGGAGAAACGGCGTGCGTTCACGTGGTGTCCTGCATGGTTCCCATGAACAGAGTTTCTTCCAGGCATCTATTCGGGCGCCCCCCCCCCCCCGAAGAAGGTCTACCCCCCCCCCCAACGAAATGAAATTTATATAGAAAATATATGCTTTTAACAGTGTCCGCCCCCCCTCCCCCCCCCCCCCCGCCCCGAAGAAAGTCTACCGCCCCCTCCGAAAATTTCAAGTTCCCCCCCCCCCCCGGAGAACTATATATATAGATTTAACTATATATATAGATTTAACTATATATATAGATTTAACTATATATATAGATTTAACTATATATATAGATTTATATATATATATATATATATATATATATATATATATATATATATATATATATATATATATATATATATATATATATATATATATGTATATATATGTATATATATGTATATAGATATATATAGATAGTGAAAAACGAGTGTTATGATACTAAGGGTGAGAATTCTAGACTGGCATGGTTATTTTTTTTAGGCTACGTAGTTATATTAAATAAGCAAGTGTATTTACGTGTAGCCGTAACATATCGCGATAATAGTAGAACCAGCTATGTATATAATCATATTCATGACATATAGGCGGGAACAGGGACATTTCCCCACCCCCGACATTACCCACCGGAGTAATTACCCCCCTGTCAATTACCCCCCGCCCAGTAAGACATTACCCCCCCCCCCCCGGCCAGGGTTAGTTAGGGTTAGGGTTAGGGTTAGAGCCGGAGAGTGCACACAGTAATATGACGTCATTGATTCTCGAGTAAACATTGAATAAAAAGGCAATTTTGTCTAATCTAAATGGTTTGCGTGAAGAGTTTCTTGCATACAATTCTTCGGGTAGGTAGAGTAGAAAATAATCTCAAGCCGGAGAGTGCACACAGTAATATGACGTCCTTGATTCTCGAGTAAACATTGAATAAAAAGGCAATTTTGTCTAATCTAAGTGGTTTGCGTGAAGAGTTTCTTTCATACAATTCTTCGGGTAGGGGCGAAGCCCCACCCCCGCGTAAGAACGTCTAAGCCCCCCCCCCCCTCCCCAACTCAAAAGAAATTTCTTCATCGATACTCTATAATAAAATTACCGCCTAATTTATGTGTCTAATCTAAAAAGTGGTTTTCTTGCAATTTGTTTAATGCAATTCTTCGCGTAGTGGCTAAGCGCGACACCAGTGTTTCTTTCAGACTTTTTCCTCACCTCCGGTAGGGGCGAAGCTCCGCCCAGATTCTTCCTTTAGTTTGTATGATCTACAAATGCGACCAGTGTTTCTTTCAGACATTTTCCTCCCCGGAGAGGGGTGGGGGTACTTGAAATTTTCGGGGGCGGGGGTAGATTTTCTGGGAGGGTGCGGACACTGGAAAAAGTATATAATTATATTTCGTTGAATGGGACGGTAGACATGTTTTAAGGTGTGTGTGGGGGGGGGGGGGGGCGGAGCCCCCTCCTCCCAAGTAGAGTTGCCTGAAAGAAACTCTAAATGCGACTTTTGTCATGAATGAGGTTAGGTGCATGGTTTAGGGATATGCCTATGACTATATTTTGTATAAATTAAAGTACCGATTCTGGATAAAAATCCGTTTTCAATGTCATTTTTCGTTTACGGTTAAATTGAATGAAGGTGGTGATTTTGGTTTTGGTTTTAGTTTAGAGAAAAGAGACAGCACTATCAACCTAGCGCCCGTTGTATCCTTCCTCAACGGGCCATTTTTCTCGTTGCATATATAAGAGTGCAGAATATTAGTACTTCATAAATTCATTTGCATTTTTTTAAAGAAATCGGAAATTTCGTACAATCCTACTTCCGGTCACCGCAAAATACTCAAAATTTGACCAGAAAAACAACCAGAGGGTTAGATCTTTCACTCATATGATATATTAACTGTCCACCTGGAACAGTAATCAAGACTTAGGCTTTTGAAAAACCGAAAGTAGAACAAGTTCCACTTCCGGTTAGAGGAAATCGTTGAAAGTCGATACAGAACTACACATTAAAATGAAATTTCATCAACCTAGCTATAACGGTAATCAAGTTATCGTATTCACAGACACACAGACAGACTTACTTACAGGCAAGATTGCAAAATTAATTTTTCTGAATGTCGCGTGAATTTGGTAAATTTGGATTTAGAATGTTTGCCTCATTAACATTAAATCCCCTATACTCCGTATATGATAAAGTACTGCGGTGTAAATTGTTAAAATTTCATTTGATTTATGTGCACGATTACAATACTCACTCTATTCTCTGTATACAAGAAATTAATAAAACGGGAGTTTCTTACATAACTACGGGGGATGGAAACTCGGGAAATAGACATGTATTTTATTTATTTTTTTAAAAATAACTTCAACTTTTTAAAATAGAATATCGTAGAAAAAGAATTGCGCACCAAGTGAACAGCAAAGAATATGTGTATAATAGTGTGGAATATTACTACTTTATTAATTCATAAGCATTTTTGGGGAAATCGGAAATAGCGTAAAGTACTACTTCATGTCACCGAAAATAATTCAATTTTTGTACACATGTGTGAAATTAGGTATATCTATCTGAAACAGCACTCATGTATAATATGATAACTGATTACTTTAAATAGCGCAATACGCTTAAATGACGTCAGACCTTTTGACAATGTCGTCACAAATACAATTCGAATGAGGCGTGTGGATGGGTAATGGGGGGGGGGGGGAATGGGTAATTGGGGGGGGGGGGAAATGAGGCGTATGGATGGGTAATGGGGGGGGGGGGGGAAATTAGGCGTGTGGATGGGTAATGGGGGGGGGGGGGAATTAAGACTGAAATGATGACTAGTACAATTAACGCCAATTTATATTAATAACCATTAAAGTAGCCTTGTTATAAATGTTATTGAATGACTTTTTGCTGTCGAAGTTTCAATAATGATTCTTTTGAATATCCCAAAACATCTTTAAGAACTTGGTCAGTATGTTGTCCTAGCATTGGTGGAGCTATTGGCTCCACCAATTTTGTGACACTGTAGCGTACAGCCGGTCCAGGCACTCGTATTTCACCAAGAGTTGGGTGATCAAGTTTCTGTATCATTCCATTGTTTAACACCTGAAAATAGATACGTGAATTTATCAATTCCTTATTGATTGGATAAATCAGTCATCACAGACGTTCTTCCATTTTTACTTTCTCCTATAAAGAGTGTAGAGGAAGTATGGTAATCGCACTGAATAATTATCACATATTATGAGTTTTCGTCGTTTTACACCTCCTTACTTTATAATGAACGTAAAGGATTCTTTGAAATCGTGCAAAAAACTTAAACAGAGGTTTTGAAAAACTGACGCTTTACATCCTCCCGGAACGAAATTTTTGCAATTTTGTCAGTATGTCTGTGATGAGTTTAAACACGATTATTTGAGTAAAGGTTCAGTTGTATTGACCCTAAGGGGCACCTAAAGGGGTAGAAAAAATTATTCAAAGCTCATTTAAGCTGCTGTTTTCAGTTAAAAATAGTTAAAGTTTGGAAATTTAACAGCCACAAGGCGTTACATACAGATTTAACTAATTTATACCTTGATTGTGTAAATGTAAAAAAAAAAATACCCTTAAGAAAAAGTGACCGGCAAAAACCGCATTCCAGTTTTTCCTAGATGGGGGAGGCGGCGCAAGGATTTACACTCGATAGGTAAGCAGAAACCTTTATCACTTATAAAAGAAACTGTATTAAAGCGCATTGCTAGTGACGTTAAAACCTGCTCTACCAACACTGGGGAGGGGGTCACTTTTCGCCAACTAAAATCGAAAGGTTTACACTGGATTGGTGAGTAGATAACGTTTATAACGTAGAAAAAAAAACAATTATACTAAAGCGTATTGTACGATTGTGTAACATTTTGAAAATGAGTTAGTGTCGTTAAAACCCGCTGCACCAAATATGTACAACCTGGTGGAAAGTGGGGGGGGGGGGCTTTTTCGTCGACAAAAAAATCGCAAGGGTTTGTACAAAATTTGTGAATAGATAAGTCTTCTTGCATTTAGAGAGGAAACCAGTTGTATTGAAGAGTATTTTGTAACAGAAGCATAAGAAAAAGGTAGTGAGGGGGGTGCGCTTTTTTCGGCAAGGTAAATGGGAAGGAATTACACCGGAACGGTGAGCAGATAAATCGTTTAACACTTAGAATAGAAACCAATTGTATTAACGTACGATTTCGCCAGCCAGTTTTGTTAAGAAATAACGCGACTAGTTCTTTGTACGATACTTACGATTCTTTCAACTTTATTAACGTGAGAGACTGATATTTTTACTTGATTACATCTTACCTGGAACCACTGAATTAAAGAGAAACGAGCCGACAGACTCTAACGGCTCCCAGAAGAGAATTATATATATAGATAATATCGCATACGGTTGGAGCGGGTGGGTGGAAGGCGATACTCTTTGGCAGAAATTTTAAGAACTAAGAAAATTTCAAATTACATAATAAGACTGTTTACTAGAAAATTAGTATACTGTACCGAATCGATGATTGTTTTATTGCTTGTTACATAACAATTCCTAAGACTGCAATTTTCATATAGCTTAGGCCACAAGACGTACTAAACGATGTAAAAAAATGGTACAACATGACGACTGATAATTTAAAACTGTAATATACTAGTATCGAAATTATTCTAAAGACACGACCAAATAAAGTTTGCACCTTCTATAAACTACCCTCTAAAGCATGGTTCTTATTCTTTTTGGAGGTACCGAGCCCCACCTATTTCATATGCGAATTCGCAGAACCCTGAATCAAATGAGTCTTCCTCTTCACATTTAGTTATAGATCCTGACTGAATTTTTTGGTGTTGGTGACATTGTTGAAAATTAGAATTCCACAGCGGTTTTGAAAGTTAAAACGTATTTCATCGCTGCTGATTCTAATCATTGCGTCATTGGCGGCGCCACTACCATTAAACCGGTTATTATTGCTTTTTAAACTAATACAATTTGTTCTGCATTTATTGTTGACTAAGTGCGAGAAGGCAGCGCATATCTGAAAATTCAAGACTTCCAGCTGTTTTGTCCGTTCGATTCCAGCTTGTTTACTCTAGCTTGCTTCATTATACAATCAACCAGTCAACGAAATAGTCATGTCGTATTCCAATGTGCACAAGAAATGTTTTTGATACTTTGACATTGTGTATCACTTGTATGACCTAATGCTAACAAGCTTATAATCCAGCTATGTGACCTACTTAGGTCTTCTTTTTTTAATTGTTTAATTTCATGAATATTTAATTGGCCTTGAGTGGTCTGTTGTTCAAACTAAAGAAAGTTTCCATCACACTCTTGTGATAGTATTCACCACTGAGTCCGTGTGGCTCATGCTTTGGTTCCTTCCTCCAACGGTCCTTGACATTGAGGTCAACATCCCATAATTTCAGAGTGGTATTAAAAGACTGAATTTTCCAGACACGAGGCAGCCCACTAGACACCCACGAGAGAGAGCCACGTACGACGCCATGTTATATTTTCTAGATTAAGCAGTAATTATCCCTTAGCTCCAGTGCATTCGGTATTTTTCTGTGTCTCAATTCGATAACGTGTAGGCTGTGTTGATTACTTAGGTACCTTAGGTACCTAGATTGATTAAAAGTATTATTAGTCGCAGAAGGTCTTCGTGTGTGTTTTTACCCTAGATATTAGCTTCGAGTCCACAAGAGCTTTTTGTTTTCTGGTAGTCTTTTTAGTTTCGTAAGTCATCAGTCTAGGACCATCCAAAAATAATCCGGGTATTGCGTAATCTTTACCAGTGGTAGAGGTACGTAATATTGAGTGGTCGCCCAGTCCGGGATCTAATTTGTCTTACAAGTTTAAATATTCCTAAACCCTAGATCTAGTTAGTTTTCTCCCAGTCCGGAGGAAATAAACTGCCCTGGACTAGTCCATTTTCTATTTAGGTCAAGGGAGAGTGAGTTGATCGTGTCCTGTGTAGGATGAGTTCATAGCAGTAGAGGCTCCATTCATGGAGTTACCTCTGAAAATAACATCTGACGACATAGTAAAGGCACAGAACTGTCAACTGGCCGGGCAGCCTGACCATCATATTCCCAAGGCCTCGTTGAACCCAATACGTGTGTTGGAAGAACCATTTGACAAAGTCATCATGGATTTCGTCGGTCCTTTGCCAAAGACAAAGGCGGGTAACGAGTACTAGATCTTTTACTTATATGTGAAATTTCATTTATCTATCTGAAATAGTACTCAAGTTATAGGCTTTTGAAAAATTAAAATCGCAGAAAAAGTGATACGGATCTACAAATTTGATATAATACTTATATATGAAACGCTGTAACGGTACTCAAGTTATCGTGTTTACAGACACACATATACACACATACACAGACATACGACAAGATTGCCTTGACTATCCGAGGCATCGAAGGTTCATAATATTCCATCGAAAGTTGTGTGTTTTGTTTGTTTAGTGTTTGATTAGACGTTTGTTTAGGATGTTTTGAATTTGATTTAATGATTACGTTTTTGTCGTAGGTTCCATTTTTTTCATGTAATAAATTGTAAGAATTGTTAAGCATTTTTTAAAATGCTTTATTTTTAGCCTAAGACTAAAGTAAGGGTTTAGCCACCGTGGGTTCTACCACGGTTGCACTGACCGGACAGTTTATTTAGATAAGCCTAGGAAGGGTAGATAGTATAGTTATCCCCTTCCCCTAGCAGGGCTTATATATATATATATATATATATATATATATATATATATATATATATATAATTTTTATAATAAGATTTTAAATATATATTGAAAATAAAATAAAACTTGCCCTCTTGAATCAAAACAAGAGGTAGCTAAAAATGTGCCAGAGATCGATTAGTTCTCTTCGAAATGGGTCAAAATATAGTTACAAGATTCACCACAATTCAAACCTCACACCAAACTAACTTATTACCTCTAATCGAATATTAATATAGGTTAATACAAGTTATTGTAAGACTTGTTAAGTAAATAACTGCTGAAAAAAAGTTCACAAGAAAAAGTTTGATCAATGTTAAACGGCGGTCTGACCTGGGGGTCTGAAAATGTTTGCTCCATATTGTTTATTGGTCCATACGGCAGCCCTGAGCCATCTAGTATGTTCAGCCAATCCGATAATGACTTTTTCTGAAACCTATACACACATATATTTATTAAAATATTTGTTAACTAAGTCTGTTCTATAAATAATTCTCTAAGCTAAGTATCGTTTGATCATTTCATGAATATTTTAAATAGTGTTAACAGTACGTACACTTTCTCCAAAAACCGCAATAAATCAAGTCTATTTTTAACTCTGGCTTTATTTGTCTTATAGCGGTCATCATTGGCAAGCTCAGGATGTCCTATTAGCTGAAGATAAAATACGTTATTTAATAATGATACATAACATACCAAAACTAGCCAATCATTACCTACACAACAGGATACCCTAAGCTCGCTAAACTTGCCAAAGTGGATGGATTTACCAAATGAAGTTTAAGTAATATTTTATGTGAGCGGGTGAATGGATTATTTATTTTGTATTAATTTTATTTGTTGCGAATCTGGGAGTGCATGGTGGTCCAATGGGGAACAGGCCACGGAGTCCCCTTCCGTCCGAAGCGGTCAGTATATAAACTGACCACTCGGATAATTTCTTCCTTTTTTTGACCGCCAGAATGTAGGTCAGGTCAGCTTCTGTGGTCGCGCTTTGTGCGTTGGAGTAGTTGTATGTTGTGTTTTGTTTGGTGTGGACTTTTGGATGTCGAGAATGGATGAAGGGAGGTTTCTGTGTGTCAGGGCCTGGACCATCCTAGACATCATAAGTCGGCGCAACACCAGCAAATGGTCAAACGTAATGTTTTGTTTCGTTGAGTTCTGTTTGTTTTGTATGTCTTGAGTGTTTAAATTATTTTGTCTAGATCTAAATTCTAGTTTGTTTATAATAACTTTTGGTTCCATATTTTGCTAAATAAATTTTATATTATTTGTTAAAGCTTTTGTCTTATTTTAGTATTTTATTTAGACTAAGGTTAGGTTATTAACCAGTCTGGGTTTATCCGGGCTTGCACTGACCGGACAGTAGGTAGTAGATAAGCCTAGGGAAGGGTAGAGTAGATTTTAGGTATCCCCCCCTAGCAGGGCTTACAAATTGGTAGCACGAGTGGGGTAAGGCGGTTGCGTCACCACCTGGCCCAACCAAGCGGACGCTCCCCACCAACGAGAGGCCAGTGACGTCAATTCCTTGACCCACAAAGAGGGCTACTGGACACCCGCCCCACAGGTGTGTCGAAGCGGAGGCACGATCGTTGGGGGCGGGTAACAGTCGGAGAGCCAGTGGGTCAAGGCGGTTGCATCATCTCCGGACCGACCTAGCGAACGCTCCACCGGTGTGCCTACGGTGACGCAAGACCAGAATGCGTGTACAGATGAGACGTTGCAACGGCGAGTCATTAGTAGCGGGCGGGTCTAGGCTGACCCTCCCCCTTGTCCTTCCGGATGAACGGCCGACAGGACTAGTAGCGCGAATCAGCCCTCAGTGAAGGGAACACTATCTTGGTGCCTTGAATTTTTTTAGGGAGCACAGAGACGCAAGATTAATGTTAATGGAAATTGTTTTTTTGCATTCAAGCTTATAGGCTTGGTGTAAGAGATGGGTGCATGTTTTATTTTAAGATTGTTATATGTATTTTTTTGTCTTACAGGGACTGTAAGATTTTTAAAAGGGGTGAATGTGAGCGGGTGAATGGATTATTTATTTTGTATTAATTTTATTTGTTGCGAATCTGGGAGTGCATGGTGGTCCAATGGGGAACAGGCCACGGAGTCCCCTTCCGTCCGAAGCGGTCAGTATATAAACTGACCACTCGGATAATTTCTTCCTTTTTTTGACCGCCAGAATGTAGGTCAGGTCAGCTTCTGTGGTCGCGCTTTGTGCGTTGGAGTAGTTGTACGTTGTGTTTTGTTTGGTGTGGACTTTTGGATGTCGAGAATGGATGAAGGGAGGTTTCTGTGTGTCAGGGCCTGGACCATCCTAGACATCATAAGTCGGCGCAACACCAGCAAATGGTCAAACGTAATGTTTTGTTTCGTTGAGTTCTGTTTGTTTTGTATGTCTTGAGTGTTTAAATTATTTTGTCTAGATCTAAATTCTAGTTTGTTTATAATAACTTTTGGTTCCATATTTTGCTAAATAAATTTTATATTATTTGTTAAAGCTTTTGTCTTATTTTAGTATTTTATTTAGACTAAGGTTAGGTTATTAACCAGTCTGGGTTTATCCGGGCTTGCACTGACCGGACAGTAGGTAGTAGATAAGCCTAGGGAAGGGTAGAGTAGATTTTAGGTATCCCCCCCTAGCAGGGCTTACATTTAGACCTCGGCAAAGGATTGTATATTCTGATCTTTTCCCTGCCGCCTTCACTTCCACCTACCAGGTAGATACAATATCGCCCGTCAAGCAAATTAACGCTTTTCAGCTTTGACATCGTACACTCTACTTCTCCAACAAACACTACAACAACAAAAATGATCCGCTGACCTGTGCTAACGCTCCACCATATAGTGTACCCAAAATAATGATCCGCTGACCTGTCCTAACGCCCCACCATATAGTGTACCCAAAAAAATGATCCTCTGATATGTGCTAACGCTCCACCATATAGTGTACCCAAAAAAATAATCCGTTGACCTGAGCTAACGCCCCACCATATAGTGTACCCAAAAAATGATCCGCTGACCTGTCCTAACGCCCCACCATATAGTGTACCCAAAAAAATGATCCTCTGATATGTGCTAACGCCCCACCATATAGTGTACCCAAAAAAAATGATCCTCTGATATGTGCTAACGCTCCACCATTTAGTGTACCCAAAAAAATGATCCGTTGACCTGAGCTAACGCTCCACCATATAGTGTACCCAAAAAAATGATCCTCTGATATGTGCTAACGCTCCACCATATAGTGTACCCAAAATAATGATCCGCTGACCTGTGCTAACGCTCCACCATATAGTGTACCCAAAAAACTTATCCGCTGACCTGTGCTAACGTTTGAAATTGACTGTCATTTCCTGCTCCGAGAAGTAAGTACCCAGATGATGTTTGAAAAGCCTTTAGAAAGTAAGGTTTAAACAGCCATTAAATAGTATTCTACAATTACAAACAGTTGAAATGTGATTCTACAAATCATTTAAACGTAGCACTCATAATGGTTTAATTTCATTCGTCAACGGTTTAAATGTGATTGTGTTTACATATGCCACTAGCTGGTATAGCAATCAACACGCTTACCTGATATGGCACGATACTGGGGTGAGCAGTACCAAACCGCTCACCTTCAAGTCCTGCATTTAAGTAATTCGATGCAACATTTACTAGTGATGCAACCTAAAAGAATTACACATTACCATATATATATATATATATATATATATATATATATATATATATATATATATATATATATATATATATATATATATATATATATATATATATAAAACTCTAAAAATGTAAATTTTACAGAGGTGACAAAAAAACTGATACTTCATTCGTTATGATTTATGCGAAGAAACTCTCTTACGACTATACTGTAGCGTTTCAACATGAGTTTTGTTCATATTTACAAAAGTATAGGGGTTTTAAAGGTTAGTCGGTTTTGCTAGTCATAAAACTCTCGACGCCAAACCGACTATGTGTGCTTTAGCCATTTTGAACCGAGAATTTCTTTCTCAGCCACGTTCGTTCGTTTTATCCAAGGAACATTGTTACGAAACGAGTCATTTATATGGTTGGTACTGATGGTGGTGATGGCTCAGTGAAAGGTTCAAGTAAAACGCAAACACAATTTCAGCTAGGCAACTTAAATGGTTACTACTTTAGTCTTCAATTAAAACAGGAAATAATCTTGAACATAGTGGCCAACCCTAGGGGCCAGCCCTACCACACTTTACAAAACACAACACGACTACATCCTAGCAAAGCTTAAGTTCCACTGTCCTAATTTATTCTCAGGGCCCAAGCTTCATTCTAGGGTTCTTTAACCCCTGCCTGACCCCGGCATTACAGCGAGGGGGAGGGACGTGTGCCCTAGCATCCACATTAGCTAGGTTGGAAAAATATGCATTGTGTCCCAGTTCAGGTGTGGGACGGGGGGGGGGGGTTGGACTCAATTATAACAAACATGATTTCGTTTTCTTTATGTTTTAAAGTTATAGTTAACACTAATTGATAACATTTAGAATATAATTTTGCGCTCATATTTTTATTATTTGAGTTTATTTTACCTTATGGGGTTAGTTTAATTATAGAAGACATGTTTTAGTTTGGCTTTGTCGCATTCGAATTTTTATTTATTATGGCTATATTTAGGACTGGTTAATTGTTGAAGGTTATGCTTTATTTATTACGTTTTCCTATTATCACAGTTTATTTCACTTAATCTGGTGGGAGCTACGTTTGTAGTAGTAATAGAATAAAACTTAATGAAGTTATAGTATGAGTGAGACATAACACACTAATAATAATTTGTGGTTTACTAATTTTTAAAACTGGGCATCACAGAAAAATGTAAAAAAAAAAATGTGTTTATCTTTAAATAAGTCACACGAATAAACAGTACAATGGTAAAATGCTTTTAAGAATGAGGCAAATCATCATAAAAGTGTGTATTTATGACGGGCTTGTAGGTGCTCAAATTTGACAGCTTTCATCTTTTTTTCTGCTCGTTTACAGCTGATCAGGGGCTAGGGATGGGATTTTAATGTTGCGACACAAGTTTAGCAAGTGCCTAGTATCGACTAATAGACTTTTAAAGTCAAGGTTGTACTGCAGTGCACGAATGTGTGTCGGAGGACGCTCCTGACTCGATTTAGTGAGCGACTGTAGCAACCCATTCTATCAACAGCCTATCGCATTCTTTAAAACGAACGTAGGCGCCAAAGTGCTAACGGGTGAGCCCATGGTGCCAAATCGCCCAAACGATTATTGTTGTCCATCGTGTCTTTAGCGTATATCTTTTTTTTTTTTAAATTAACTTAGGCGCCGTAGTGCTCGCCTGAAGTAACATAAAACACGAAATAAAGTAGAAATACACAAACAATAACGAAGAACATGCAGTGTTTCTTCCAGACTTTTTTCTCCGGGGGGGGGGGGGGAAGGGGGGGCACCTAATATTTTTGGGGGGGGGGGACACTAGTAAAAGTATATTTTTACTTTATAAATTCCATCTTGTTCGGGGGGGGGGGGGGCAGCGGTAGACTTTCTTCGGGGGAGGGGGCTCCGAAGAGATGCCTGGAAGAAACTCTGAGAACATGCACCACGAATTAAAGAAGGAATATGAGAAAAAATAAAGAACACTAGGATAATATTCTGACTTACACTTGTGGATAACAAGTTGCAGTCGATGTGCTGACCTCTGCCAGTATGTTGTCTTGCTATAATTGATGCCAGAATGGCACTGACAGCATACAGCCCTGTAGACAAGTCAGTTAATGCCACGCCAGTTTTACAAGGTTCTCCATCCTAAAAATAGTATTGCACGCCGTTAAGCTGTGTGATGTAAAGTATTTCATCTTAAAATGATGTATGGTGTAGTATATTATGTTTAAATGATGTATGGTGTAAGCTATATCAAGTTAAAATATGTAGTGTAACAATGTAACGTTAAATGTGTTGTATACAGAAAATGTAACAGAAAACGCCATGTATGAACTTACAGCAGGTCCTGTTATGTGCATCAGTCCACCAACACCAGAGACAATAACATCATAGCCAGCACGGCTTGAATAGGCGCCTGTCTGTCCATAGCCTAAAATTGTTTTAAAAAGGTCTTAGACACTAAAAAAAAAGTTTTACCATGGAAAACATTTAGCAACCTGATATTAGTTGATATAAGAGCTACAATATGTGATTGTGTCTTTATGTACACCTTGATTTTTTTGTCCTATAATGCCGATTTAACTGTGTTGGGGAGTATAGCTCATGGCTGCCTAAGTACCAAAACGTAAATAAAATTTTCATTTCATCTATTTTTGTGCATTTGAATTTAAAGAAACGACTTATGGCCACAACAGATGGAACTGGATGTCTATCGTTTTAACTAACGAGTACATTTCATGCTTAGCTGATCAAGATCTTGCTAGTCTACTGATGGATCTAATTTTACTAACCTGTAATGGAGCAATAGATCAGATGTGGAAACTCGGCACTAAGCTCTGGATACCCAAGTCCCATTTGAGACAGTTTTCCAGGAATGTAGTTCTCAACTAAAACATCACTGACAGCTGCTAGCTAGAAGCATGAAATAGCCTTACATTATGCTGACAAATTCTTAACACTGTCACAGTGTAGCAGTGCTTGAGACAATGTTATAAGAACACTCACCTCTTTGATGATTTTAACCCCTTCAGGTTTCTTAAAATCAACAGTCACACTCTGTAAATATAGAATATTACATAACTTTCTAATCTTGCATTTATTTCACAGAAATCATTGACATGTTGCAACTGGTGACACATACAGAAGAACTGATAACACACATGGTGCTGACACAAATGGAGTTGTTGCACGTATACAAATAATGTCAAATACATCAGATGTGACAAAGAACGACTTTTAAAAGTGTGTACAAAACTGTTGACATACAAGAACCACGGACGTACAGATGTCCTGATACACACATGACCTCTGACATACTAAGATTTTTGACATGAGCTTGACAGATGACTGGGTTGTGCCTTTGGCGAATATTTATCAACAATCTTGATAAACTTACGGGAGAGAAGGAGGTAGTAGTGTCTACTGTCAAGATTTCTGAATTATTTCAGATCCAGCCTACTGTGATGATATTACATAGCGTGGTGGGTTTAGTTGATTACCTTTTGCTTTTAAAAAATCTTGATTAAGGTTAGGAGTCTAACTATCGTGGGTTTAGCCACGGTAGCACTGCCGCCCAAATAGTTAAGTAGGGTATTAGATCTTTTGGTAGTTCTCTGGAGCCAGTTATATCACTAATTATCTAATACGGTAGATATTGGTTTGAGTGTTTTGATTATCTTCCATGATGTAACAATATTCTATGTAATCTAGTTCAATAGCTATTTAACAGCCTTCACCGCTTGCCTCCACGCAAAAAAGTTGTTCGTGTAAGTATTGCGGGTGATGATATCAATCTATTGCGTGTGATATCGATCTGATGAACCCTATCCTAAATGAACACATTTTACTTCTCCATTAACTTCTACACATGTCTAGACATGAACACATTCTACTTCTCCATTAACTTCTACACATGTCTAGACATGAACACATTTTACTTCTCCATTTACTTCTACACATGTCTAGACATGAACACATTTTACTTCTCCATTTACTTCTACACATGTCTAGACATGAACACATTTTACTTCTCCATTTACTTCTACACATGTCTAGACATGAACACATTTTACTTCTCCATTTACTTCTACACATGTCTAGACATTTGACGAACTAGCCAATTTTCATAGGATGAAACCTGGCTAAAGCGTCACGTATGAGCCAGCCTTTGCACAAGGTTAAACATTTAGCCAAGACTACACCTTTTTATTACGGTTCACGCAGAGATAGTAGCAGGATTCTGTTCCAACAAATGGCGGGCCCCAAGAACGAGTATCGTCACCTTCACCTGCAAAATAAAAATTGAATTTTTGTGTGTTCTACATAAACGAAATAATATTTTAAAATATAATTTTAAATTTAAATGATATGTTACTTTTGATGAAATTAGTTGATAACTATATTATGCTGTTAAAAGTTCTTCTAATAATTGTATTTTTACTTTATAAGTTATCACTTACACAATGTTTAACAAATGCGCAGAGATTGCTAATTTCAACCTCATCAAAATAATGCAAATTATAACATTTTAAATAAGTGGTAATAACTAAGATAAACTATCCATAGTAGACATTCTATGTAAGCAGGCCCCTATCTCCTCATAGAACTTTAAAATTATAAGATCTATCTCCATAAGCAGAAATATTGTGCATTTTTAAATTAATAAAATAGGCCTTAGCAAGAAAAAACTTAATATTTTTGCAAGCTCAAAAAAGGTCATACCAAAATGCCACTTTTTAAAAGTTAAATAAACCGGGAGTGATCTCCCCTAAACTTTCTCGAAAATTCTTATATGAAACAAGAGGGAATGGAAACTCGGGATGTAGACATGACTTTTAATCCATTTTAAATACTTAAACTTTTTAAAATAGAATAAAATCTCGTAGAAAAAAATTGCACACCAAGTGAACGCCAAATAAAATTTGCAAAATAGTGTGGAATATTATTAATACTTTATAAATTCACATTCGTTTTAGAGAAATCGGAAATAGCATAAATTACTACTTCCAGTCAACAGAAATTACTCAAAATTTGAAAGAAGGCAGAAAATTAGATCTTTTACTTACATGTAAAATTTCATTTATCTGTATGAAATAGTACTTAAGTTATAGACTTTGGAAAATTCAAAGAAGAAAAAGTTCCACTTCCGGTTATCGGAAATCACTCAAAAGTTGATACGGATCTACGATTTTGATAAAATACTTATATATGAAATTTCATCAACCTAGCTGTAACGGTACTCATGTTATTGTGTTTACAAAGACACACCCACAGACACACAGACACACACACACAGACATATGGACAAGATTGCAAAACTATGTTTTTCCGACTCAGGGAGCCCTAAAACGTCGAGATTTGTAAAAATCTCGATTTTTTTTTTTTGCACGATTACAATACTTTCTCTATACTCTGTATATACGAGAAAGTTGAAAAAAAAAGTAGTAGGCTTTTTAGTGTTAACTCGGCTGAAATATACCACGTAATGATGGTAATGGCGTACAGAGCTATGAATAGCTAAACCAAACTGTCAAAAATTATGTTCTGTGGACAATTTTTGTAATTTCAAAATATAATTTATTTCCTCAACACATGTTCCAATATATATTTGATTTATTTGAAAAGTATCAGGTTTTTAGCGCAATTTCCATACTGGCAATTGCGTTTAATAATGCGTCATTTCTGGATGGATGGATGGATGGATGTGTGTCCGCAGCTTTAAGTCGTATCTCCTCCTCAACGAAGCAATATCGAGGACTAGTTCCAAAAGCAAATATGTTAAGCAAGTTCCGAGGATGAACATAGGCCAAAAAATTCCCGGAATTCCTTCCTGGATTTCCCGGAAAAGTCAAAAAACCTTTTAAAATGCAGTTTTTTCCCATATCTCGGCAACCAGACCACTTAGCGACTTGAAACATTTACCAATCGATTCCTGCCATAATTTAGAACAATATTGCAAAAGAAAGTTTTCAAAAATATCCTTTTGTTCGGTCACAAAAAATTAATTTCTTCTAATTTGTATTGGCTAAGATTACTAAGAATATACAAATATTTCTACCACCCTCATCCCTTCGCGTCTCACCACTAGAAGAAGCGAAGCGGTGAAGTTCCAAACCAAACACACCGGCTGAGGCAGTCGCTAGTGAGAGGTAACGTCTACTTGTTTTTTTTTTAACTGAGCATCGTGTAGGCCTACTCGTCGTTAAAATAAAACTATTTCCGTTGATATAGGTCTTTTTCTTTTAGCGCAATTTCCATACTGGTTTCTATTTTGTTTTGAATTAATAAAACTACTTGTGTTGCATTATTTAATTGCTGAATATATGATTTATCTCGATTTAAAATTGTTATGGATAACATAAGGAAATTGCGCTTAAATTGTCACTAGACTTTTTATTAACTTGTTTTTTAAAATGCCACCGTTTAGCAAGCGCTTGTCGACCCCGTCATGGTTAATTTGGTCGTGTCCTTTGCGCCAAACATCATAGAAACAATATCTTAATGTCAAATCAAAGAGAGAATGCTAGCTGGTCATCTGATGTATTCGAATAAAAATCACATTGTTGATTTCAGTTTTAAAATCGGGTTTCAATTTATAAATGAAGATATATACACGAAAATATGAACATTTTGTTTCTACTTTTACACCGAAGAAAAGTTCATTTTCTTAAATACTTTGAGTTGTAAACAGAGGCGTAGCGACCCTTCCCGGGCGCCCGGGGACAAACTTTTCGATTTGTACCCCCCCCCCTCGAGATTTCGATTTGCTCCCCCCCCCCTCAAACTTTCGATTTGCACCCCCCTCAACCTTTCAATTTATTTTTCCAACCCATTTTGGCGCCCCCTAAGGTCGGCGCCCGGGGACATATGTCCCCCCCCCCGCTCCGCCCCCCCCCCCCTCGCTACGCTACTGGTTGTAAATTCAAGTAAATGGTAACTGCCTAAGAAAAATAATCTTAGAGTAAATTTGAGCGATAAGATTCTACGGTTTTAGCCTGTGTACTAGGCTTGTACTTTTGTGTGTTTAGACGTGAAGCTATTTAATTTAGGAAATTCTATGGAGTTAAAATACTGATGTACTAATAGATTCTATTATTTAGTATAACTTTAAAATCTATCAAATGAAATAAATGATAAGGCCGTATAAATAATTTTCTTTTCTGTACTTTCACATAAAAATTATGAATCGACAAATTCAAAATGGTCACAAGACAATGTCCGTTACTTGGTGGACAAATTCAATTAACAGTGAAAGAAAATTAAACAGTTGTAAAACATTAATGTAACACAAAATATATTAATGATCAATAACATAATTATCAATTATCATAACTGTTTTAGACTCCCAGAAAGAAGCGCTACGGAAAATTGCGCAAAGAGAGAATGGTGCAACCAGAAAAACACGCAAATAAAAAAATTGCGCACTTATCGCTCACCAATGAGGATTGCGGCAATGTGTGTGTGTGTGACTGTTTATGCGTGCAGGTGTATTTTTGCACGTATTTATGCGTATAAATAGACGTATATATTTTATTGTAATGTCTGTATATTTTTAGAGAACAACAAATACGGCCTCACTTTCTAAAATAAATAGAATCATAAATTGCTAAGGTTTTCCGATTATAAATGCTTTTCGGCCAAAGGCCCACAATTTATTTGACCACAGCCAGGTTTTGTCCATACGCCTAACCCTAACCCTAGGCAAAACTTATTAAAACTTTTAAAAAGCGTGGGTATCTTCCTAAATATTAGTAAAGGTATCCAAAAGATACTAAAGTGGCCCACGCTTTTCTTTATAGTAATTTAAATAGTAGTGTATAATCTGTATTCTACTTTTTAGTGCATTATTACATAAAAGCGTGTTACTAAAATGTTTTTTATGATTTTTTAAAAGTTTTAATTCGCTTAGTAAAAAACTATTTTAATTAGTTTTATCGGCAACCCGATTAGACTATTTAAAGGGGAGAATAAGTCATGGAAGTGGTTTAAAGATGTGCTCATTTTTCATACTACAACTTATGTAGTTTTTTTTCTCTACGCAACAGTGTAGTTTAGTTAATATAGAACAATCACTGCTGCAATCGATTAGTTTTTTTTGTTTTCTCATAACCACTAGTATATAAAGGTGCAAAATACCATTATTTTTTATCAGATTTTTCCCCCTCCCACTCCGTAAACGGCCCGAGTTATGCGCCAACCCAAAAAGGACGCAAACGTGGATCACTTTGCGTTTATGTTTGCGTTTGTGTTTTCTTTGTGTTTGGGTTAAGGTTGGGGTTGCGTTTGTGGTTGGGTTTGTGTTTGGATTTGGTTCGTTTTCGTTTGCTTTTTTTGTTTGTGTTTTCTTTGTGTTTGTGGTTGGGTTTGTAGTTGTGTTTGCGTTTTTGTTATGTTTGCGTTTTTTGTCTTTTGTTTTGTTTAAGTTTTGGTTGGTTGTGGTTAGAGTGTTTTAGTTTTGGTGGGTTGTGATTGAGGTTGGGGTAGGCAATGCCGGGTATATGCTGATTACTAAACACACGTCATGGTCCTTTAAAGATAGGTTCTTCACAGAGGCCAGTGCAGGGCCTGGACAGGACGGCTAATATATATGTTACTGAGTGTATTTACTCGCAACGCCAACTGTTACCGAGTGTATTTACTTGTGCTATCTTTGACCGGCACACAACATTAATCACAATACAGATACTCTGAAGTGCAGGTTTACATTTATCTCTTTATTAATTGAATCAATAGAAATGTTCCACATAGCAATGCATCAATGTTCCACAAGAATACAATGAACCAACTGACCCCCACTGTCCTCACTAGTTCTCACACATCAGAATACACGTGTCCATGGTTCAGGCTTCCGATCTTATTCTCACAAATTAAAACACGTATCTACAGTTCAGGCTTCAACTTCTGTTCTCTCCACTTTTGTCGTGCAGTCCTATTATATCGCCTCCCAACCACGCAGTCGCCTTGTATTCGTAATCGGTTCTATCCGTTGCATCATAGCTATGAACTCCGCACTTCTGTCGTACAGTCCTATTATATCGCCTCCCAACTACGCAGTCGTCTTGTATTTGTAATCGGTTCTATCCGTTGCCTCATAGCTATGAACTCCGCACTTCTGTCGTACAGTCCGTTTATATCGCCTCCCAACTACGCAGTCGTCTTGTACTAGTTATTATTAGACTTTTGTTTCTATTTCTGTCACACCACCTGCATCCGTTGCATCAGTTCAGTTTGGCCTTGGTCATGTCTTAGTTGACAGACTGTATTGCGTTCTTATCAATCGTCTTTAGTAACTACACTAGTTATATATATATATATATATATATATATATATATATATATATATATATATATATATATGGGGGCATCCTCTTCTTGAGTTGACCCCGGGCATCTACATAGGCATGCACGCCACTGCCTACACTTACATATATATCTACATTTACAGCCTCACTTAAACTAAAAACCGACACATATCGCCTACAAACGGATCAAATAGCCCACCCACCCTGACTAGATATCAATACCTCTTTTAACATGTCTAAAAATAAGCAGGATGGACGGATGGTTTTCCTTTGTGCCCTCAGACAGACGGGTGGGTCGGTCAGTTTGTCTGTCGGTTGGACGACGGTCGATATAGGTGTGGGTGTAGGCGTTGTCGTGCGATCCAGGTTTGTTCACACCATCTGTGATTACACAGCCCTGGTTGACAAACTGCCAGTGGACAACCCTTCGCTGTTGTCTAACAATGTGTGGGTCAATCATCTATTTCCTAAGCGACTTCCGTAGCAGTATCTATGAATGTATGATCGGAAAATCTTAATTTATGTTTCTATGCATTTTAGAAAGAGCGGTGGAATTTTTTTAATGTGAAATATACATAAACAAGAATAAAATAAATGTATGCAAACAAACATACACAAACAAACTTAAACATGGAAGCATAAACACACACACACACACACAGTGTCATTCTCATATTTGCCGAGAGATCTGTTAGTAATTGTCTGTGTGCGTATTTTTTAAATTTGCGCATCTTTCTGTGTTCGCATTTTTCTCTTTGCGCTTTTTTCTGGTTGCGAATTTTTCTGTTTGTGCATTTTCTGTGTGCGCATTTTCTGTTTACGCACTTTTCCGTTGCGTATTTTTTGTACACATTTTTCCGATGCGGATCTTTTTGGTCTCCACTGTTTTATTATTCATAGTTGTAATCATTTATTTTAAAATCAAAGAGACGATACATTTTTTAAAATGTAAGTAATTTTATTTTATTTTTTGTTCTTCACTCTTAATTCTGATATACTTCCTAAACAATGGTCTATGCTAGTTCACTTAAATTTTTAATGTAGACGTACTAGAACCTAGATGCTAGTTCATGTTGTTGAGATTTTAATTGTTATGACTATATTTTAAATGTCATTATAGTTGGATTGTAAACTTCTTTATTGTTCGAGACGACTTAAACAATTCAAAACTACATATATTATCTTTAATTTGATACTAATTTGTAATTATCAAAATTAATTGGTAGCCTAGAAAATGATTTTTGAAAAAAAAAAAACGAATTTTTTTTGTTTTTAAATGGCTACGATAATATGACTGATACATTGGGTTAGTTTGTAAAGTGTGTTGTGACGCGATTAACCGTTCAGCAGAAATGTGTCGTCCGCTACTAGATCAGGTTTTTTTTTTTTTTGAAGATTTATTTTTTTACCCTGCATATTAATTTTTTTAATTAATGAAATAAGTTTAGTAGGACGTAACATAATTTTCTATTTATTTTCTAAAAACTTTGAGTGTTTTTACAATAATGTTAAATACAGTAATTTACGTAATGCATATTTTGTGATCTGCTCGATATTCTCAGCGATTAGGCCAAAAAATGAAAAAATGGCAATTTTGCATAAAACACTAATCGTCTATTGTTAAAACTAGACCGGTATAGTTGAATAATAAGTAAGTATAACGATTATTAGCATATGTTTCTGAAATGACATTAAAACATTGTAAAAATAAACGGAATCACGGTATCGCCGTTTTCGGAAGCCATCATTACTATGACGGCGGTTTATTGTCATCGGGTCTTGACACACCTACAACGTTTCAGAGACATTGGTCAGTCAGAAGTAGTCGAAATTACGCTCGTCCGTTTTGATCAATGGCGTACAACAAAATAACGAGGAAACAAGTTAAATAATAGTTTGTAATGTTATAAAATTAAGTTTTACATCAATGCAAAATTAACTATGCTAGAGTTTCAGCTATATTTCTTAATTTATTTAAAAAAAAGAATAAGCAAAACAATTTTTGTTTAAATTTTATACATTTAGCGAAATGCTGAGACCAGATTGTTTACATTTAGTTGAATGGATTAAATTCAAATTAATTTTATTCACCTAGTACTTGGTAGAAAGATTTTTAAAATTACCAAAAATGAAAATCACTTCAACACGCATTTTTCAACTGCTTGGATTATTGAATAATTAAACTCAATCAAATTTGGCTATTAAAAAAAAAATAATAGAGGTAGACTTACCAGTTCTTTCCACTTTGATGACATCTGCTCCAAGGTCACCAAGGATCATAGTACAATAAGGTCCTGCCAACACTCTGGTACATTTGAAAGATAATAATTAAAAACTATTTGAACTCATGTCCTTCAATTGCTGTTGCTTAATCAATGATTGAAGCGTTTTACCGAGATAAGTCAAGTACTTTTATTCCATTCAGTGCTGCTTTGGGCTGCTGGCTATTTGCATTAATACTGTAACAGACTTTATTGCTAGCTGAAATAGAAAATAAAATATGGTATGTTTGTGAAACATTTAGAATTGGGTCATTCTTGCCTATCAAAACGAAGAGTTCCAATGAGGCTCGATAGATGGGGACCACAACTCATCTAGAGATAGAGCCTAAATCAAACAACTTTTTCCTTGTAGTTAATTCTTGGTTGGACAAGGCAATGAAAGCAAATCAAGAAAGAAAAGCAGGCTAAAATGGCGTCGATAGACCATATGTTATACAAAATGTTTACACCTATTACATAATAGTGTTAAAATTTAGAACAAAGAAGGGTATTTTATAAACATATTTTCATTAGCATGGAACTAAGTGAGGAAGAAACGAGGTCAGCTGATCTTACAATGATTATTCTAAAGTCAACAACTATAGAACTAATCTTTGCAGTATATGATTTATATTTTCATCAATCACTGTAGATACATATGTCATATACACTTTAAAAAGAATATATTGTGTGTAAATATTACTAACTACGAACGCTGTATATACAATTACTTATAGTTATTATAATTATATTTCACCTATACTTATGGTTATAGATTGACAAACAAAATACAGACAGAAATGAGAGCAGAGCAATTACACAGAAGTCCAAAGGCTACCCCTGACTGCATCCACCGCGCGTGTTGGTAGCGGTGGAGTAAGTCAGCTGTCTAGAGAAGTCATCAGTCAACCCATGATTCAGTTTTTGAGTCGTTCAAATATTTTTTCAAACAATCGACAGACTCCTTCGTTTTACGTCTCATGAAAATGTATTCACTGAGGGGTTTCAGGTCGATGCAGATTTACTAAAAAGTGTCAGGTCTACGTGGATATACTAATGGGTTGCAGATCTTCTTGGATGTTTAAAGGCATGCTAGGTCTACGTGGATACACTAATCGGTGGTAGGTTGACGTGGATGTACTACGGGGTGGCAGGCCTGCATACTTGTTAACATGTTATTTTTTTATATCTTTGAAGGCAATTTGAGTGACAAAAATTATATCAAATATCAGATATGAATGATGCCAATAAAATGGGTTCAATGTAAAAATCTCAACTTATACAGGTTTTTTTCTCTACTCACAATTTTGGGGCTTAAAGTGCAATAAAGTTGTTCTGAAGGCATCTCTAATACGACGACAGTGTGCAGGTTTGATCACAAATTGTTTAGTCATTCTGTAACTACTCATCATCAGATCTGTGGTTTGAATTTTTCTTAAAATTAATATAAGTAGATACGTCAAACCAACTTAAAAGTAGAGAGGTTTTCTGTTGGAATTATAATTTTAGATGCTTTTTTCAGCTTTACTATAAATTAACTTAATTAACCTTACCCCCCCCTTACCCTCACCAAACGAAACTTCTTTTTAAGAGCTCAATTTAACTAGTACGTTCACTTTAAAAATGGATTAAATTGCAACACAATATTATAGTTGTTGAATGATTTTTATGTGCTTCAATTTTGATCAGATGATTATAATTTTTCAAAGCCAATGTCAAAGATTTAATGAAAATGTTGATAAACGTTTAAAAATGTACTAAGTAAAAATGTGGTATTGTTTTAAAATGCTTATAGAGAAAAACATTAAGTGATTTATACTAGCATAAATACGAGGTTGCTAAAACATCAACATAGATTAGCATAAACTAAATTGAAATACATCAACATAAATAAAACGATAATTTAAGTTATTAAGTTCAAACAGATATAGAATAAAATACCACTATATTTTCCCGATAAATCAATAAAAATATTAAAATTAAAGAAATCTCAATACACAATTTAATGTTGATATACTTAACATAAACGTTACTCGGGATACTGTGGTTTTTTTCGTTGTTGTTGTTTTTTTCGTTCAGAAAAAGGAAGTAGAACATGTTACCGATAACCGCTCTAACATTGATAGAAACCTAAGAGTAAGATTTAGACTTATAGATATAAACGAGCTGCATAGGACCTACCCTTGCTCCGCCATGGGGGATTCTTTTTTAATTTACCAACTATGGAACAGAACAAAACTAAAGACAAAAGAAAACGACTATAAATAAACCGGTAGTGATCTCCCCTAAACTTTCTCGAATATTCTTATATAAAACAACAGGGGATGGTAACTGGGGATATAGTTATGATTTTTAATCCATTTTAAATACTAAAACTTTTAAAAATAGAATAGAATCTCAGTAAAAAACAATTGCGCACCAAGCGAACGCCTAATAAAGGTGTGTATAATAGTGCGCAATATTATTAGTACTTTTAAAATTTACATTAGTTTTTTGAGAAATCGGAAGTAGCGTAAATTACTACTTCCTGTCAACGGAAATTACTCAAAATTTAACAGAAGGTAGAGAATTAGATCTTTTACTTACATGTGAAATTTCATTTATCTATCTGAAATAGTACTCAAGTTATAGGCTTTTAAAAAATTCAAAGTAGGAAAAGTACCACTTCCGGTTATCGGAAATCGCTCAAAAGTTGATACGGATCTACGATTTTGATAAAATACTTATATATGAAATTTCATCAACCTAGCTGTAACGGTACTCAAGTTATCGTGTTTACACACGGACAGACAGACAGACAGACAGACACACACACACACAGACATACGGACAAGATTGCAAAATTATGTTTTTCCGTATCAGTGAGGTGTAAAACGTCGAGATTTGTAAAAATCTCGATTTTTTTTTTTGCACGATTACAATACTTTCTCTATACTACGTATATACGAGAAAGTAAAAACCCAGCTTGTCCGCAAACCGAAAGACAAAAGGAAACATAGGGGACTTTTTGGAGTGGTTTCTAAACTGTTCATGATTAAAAATAATAATTAGTAAACAATACGTTCAGTGTATAAAATAAATAAAAGCAGTATTTAAAATATCCATGTTTTACCTACCATATTGCACTTTATTAATCCATACTAATTATATTATTCCAACCATTATTGCCTCTTGGACGTCCGCATATTTTGCATTCACATTTTGTTTATTAGCGAGAGTTGAATTTATTAAATTACCTCCCTTGGTAAAATTACAAAACAGTTTAATTAATTAGTTTTTTTTCGACCCTACTATTATAAAAATGTATCAATATTTTCTAGACATCTAAGCGTTAATATTATTTGACATTGATCCGTTTAATATGTTTTAGCAATGTGCGTGTATTTAGTATTTTCTTCACGTTATGCAAAAGTGTAAAAACTGTGGCAACTATAAAATAGATTTAAGTCGTTATATAAACAAACCGAACTTTATTACTTATAATAAGACAATGCGATTTAATTTAAAAGCACTACATGGTTCGATGTTTACTTTGATAGTTAAAAATCTATCGCGATGACTGACTGACACACTACCAGCAGCGTTATATTATAGAGTCCTTGCATATAACGCCACGAATCGTTCAGTGTGTTAACATCCGACATCGCGGTGTACAGGTCTGCATTCAAAATGGCGATCTGTGCTGTGGAAGGATGTGTTACTCGAAGTGGCAGATCTAAAGGGATTCCTTTATTTCGACTGCCAATGGTTATACTAAACCAAGGTAATATACATCGGCAATCAACAGAACGTAGACTGTCAATTTTTAGCCAATTGGCATATTATCGAAGCGGTGCGAGTGAAGCAGCGGCAAATAAAGTATTATAAAGGTAGTGACAGTAAACAATAAACTTCATTTCAATTTACAAAGCAACTGTTAATAAAACAAATATGCTCGACTTTCATAAATAGCAATTGACCAAAGTCAAAAGTAATAATAAAATTTTATTGGAATATTTATTTAATATTTAGATCTAGAATCGAGCTCTAAATCTAATCATGTTGTAAACGAAATTAAATCTAGATTTAGAGTGACTGGCTATGCTAGGTAGACATAGAGTCTAGAATCTACTTATTTAATTAAATTTAATCACAAAATTAATTTGAGTTAATTAGGCCTTTCAAAATTTAGATCTACATTCGATTCATAATATATATTCGATTCATAATACACCAATAATTAACAAATAAAAAATATGCCTATTAATAAAAATGTAATTGTCTCTAAGATCTAGAATCTAGCTCTAGATTCTAGGAAATCATTTTATTTAGCAAACGAGATCGAAATTACCTGGAATTGAAATAGATTGTATGACTAGACTTAGATCTAGAATTTGCTACTTATGTTAACATTTAGAAGTAGTTGATATTTTTGTTGTAGAAGGCTTTAATAAATTACTTAGGCCTACCTAGTATGTGTTTAATTACAGTAGTGCTATGTATCTGATACTGGACTGATCTTAGTTAAATTTAGAAGCAGATTAGTGGTACTTATTTCCCCTTTGTTTCCCTGCTGGGCCCTGAGGGTAATAAATTACATAAGGGGTCATCCATAAATGACGTCACGCTTTTTTGGACGATTTTTACCTCCCCCTCCCCTCCGTCACACGTCGTCAGAAAAAGCCAGACCCCTCCCCTAAAATGACGTCACACCTCAGCCTACAACCCCCCCCCTCAAAATTGCCGTTGAATTTTTTAAACATCGATATTTTTACAAAATCTTGTCTGAAATTTGTCAAAATAGAGTTTTTAATCAATTCCTATTATAATTTATCAAAACTGTTTTCTAAAACGCTAAATAACGTCTAAAATTCGTTTTCTAACATTTCTTATCTATAAAACAAAAGTGTGAAGTTGCACCATCTGAACCCCCCTCCCATCGTCACAAAATTACCGACCTCCCCCCCCCCCTCCGAGTGTGACATCCTTTATGGACGACCCTTGAGAGGTGCTATCTCTGGTTGGCTGAGATCTAAGATCAGCAATCCATGTTAACTACAAAGAGATCACGTTTTATGATGGTTTAGAAACAATTGGGGGCTGGGTGCGAAGTAGCATGGAGGTGAGAAATTTTGAGGGGAGGGAAGTGGTACTCTTTAGTCTCCACCCTGCTGGACCATGATGGTCGTAAATTACATACCATCACTGCTGGGCTGAGAACAGATCCATGATACCTAGAAAGAGATGAAGTTTTATGGTGGGCTAGAAACAGGTGGGGGCTGAGTATCATGTATGTAAGACATTTTAAGAGGGAAGCATCGGTATATTGTTTCTGATCACTTTCCTGCTGGACCATGAGGGTCATAAATTACATAACATGCTGAGATCGAAGAACTGCTGTGGTTGTTACCTCTGAAACAGAAAAGCAGTTTTTTGGGGGGTTTAGTAGCGGTTAAGTGGTCTCACGTTTGTCACTGTACCGTAGATCTACCAGATCTGTTGCTACTAAATCGTGTACTTAACTAGATAATCTAGAATTTATACTAATTAGATCTAGATTTAAATTATTTATAATACTGCATTTTATGTCAACACGAATATAAGGATCTTCAATTCCTAAAAGTTTTTTTACGTACTGTTTCTGTTCAGTGGGTCCGAGGCTTTCAATATATAATGAACACATTTTGAGACAAGCCCGCCGCCGCTAAACAGCTGATTGTTTACTCGCCGGTGTTCACCACCGTGGCAGCGGACGTAGGTATCACATTATTTAGGTCACGTGTTTGCAAGGACTCTATAGATTTACCTCTACCTCAATTAAACTACGTTAAACGTTACTAAAGTTAGTATGTTCACAGACAGAAAGAAAGGTAAACACGAAGATGGGATTTCGAGGGAAGGTCTAAAACCTTGAGATTATGATATATATATATATATATATATATATATATATATATATATATATATATATATATATATATATATATATATATATACTGACTGACAAAAAATCAGACAAAAAGACAGACAGATATATGGGTGTGTATGCATGTATATAACCCCACCCCATGACCAGTTCTTGGCTGCGTCGAAGGCAACAAGAGTAAAACAAAATGATTCAAACCAATTTCATAACTTCCCTTCCTACACCTCCACTTTAGTAATTCTACTAAGAACCTAGAGGCGGTGGAGCTAAGGAACGGCGAGTTGAAATATACTAAACACAGAAATTTTTGTAGAGCAATCTCTTATCAAAACTTACACAAAAGTCAATAAAAAGTACAAATCTTAGTTTACCACACACGGTAAGCATCATTGTGACCTCTACTGCAATGCAAAACTTTTAAACTACCCATGTGAAATATATTCAAATTGTTTAACAATCAAGAAAAGCAAAGTGCAATAGATTACACTAACGTTTTATCCATAAGCCAGACA